CCTCTCTCTCTCTCTCTCTCTCTCTCTCTCTCTCTGTCTCTCTTCTTTGTCTCTCTCTCTCTTCTCAGAGCAGCACAGACAACATGAAGCCGATATGAGAATTCCTCCCAAGCGCGCCTCAGGATGTCTCCTTAAAGAGCTGTAACATTCACATTGTCTTTAACATACCTCCACAAGAACTTGCTGTTTTCTTTACTGTAAGCAGATTCCAATGACTGAAGTTTTCAACAAGATGGAGCACCACCCCATTAACATCTCGGGGTTCAAGCTTATCTGAATGAAAACGTGCCTTTGCGGTGGAATAGTGGGAGAAGTGCTAAAAAGCTCGGTCTCTACGCTTGGCTTGTCGGAACCCCGGAGCTCACCTGTGTGTGACTTTTTCTTGTAAAGGTTTATAAAGACAAAGTTTATGTTCCATCACTTCCAGAAAATATCGACAAAATGAAAGATCAAATAGCAGCTACAATCACATGGTGGAAAGAGACTTCCTGCGGCGCGTTTGGGGGGGAATTCTCATATCGCTTTCATGTTGTCCGCACTGCCGGTGGTGGCCACAGTGAGCACTTGTAAAAGCATGAAATAAAAACTTGAAGGTATGTACAACACATGTGTCCAAGATTCAGTTTTTCTATTGTTTTTCGTTTTTGAAATTTCACGTGATGGGTTTGACGTATTCTTTTTTAATCACCCTGTATTCTGAAGTGTCACCAGGGAAGCTCAAGTTTAGGAAACTCAAGGTTAGCGCATCATCAAATTTTTTTTTTTTAAAAGCACCACAAAGACACCCTGACAATGTCTCTGAAGAGCTTCAACATAAATTCTTCAACGTGGGAGAGCCTTGCTCCTGACAGACCAAACAGAAGAGCAGAAGTCACAGTGGGGAGCAAATCAAATAAGGCTTCATGAATAAGAACAGCTGAAACCAAGAGAAAAACCCGCAAGATGCACAGATCTACAAGTTGAAGTGGAGCTTGTAAATGTTTAAAGTGTTGCAAACGTTTTCTGCTACAATTGGTCTCATTGACTCCAGCAGAAGCCATATTAAATCATCTTAACCTTTAGTTCTTCTAACTTTTCTATTTCGCTGGAGAAAAATGCTCCTGTGCCAATGTACTAGTATTGGTCTACGTCAGAATTGATGGGCGAGCTGTTTATTATTATTATTATTATTAT